ATTGAGCGCTTTTCACTAAGTACTGCGCATATAAAATAATATATATATAAAATAATATATATATATATATATATACATTATTTTTATTACAAGACATCATAATAAAAACATGTTGAAATCGCTACACAAAATTTTTCATGTTTCAATACTTTGAGTGTACTTCTTCAGGGGATGGTAAGTTACTAGTGAGTAAATGATTTTTAAGAAAATTTAAAAACAAAGTGTTACCTCTTTTTGCGAAAGTTAAAGGGGGAAAACATTTTTAAAAGTAAATATATAAAAACAATGCAATTTTCCCCATGTGTTCTTTCTCTCATTTGGGTATATATATATATATATATATATATATATATATATATATGAAGAAATATAGTTTTAAGGGGTGCTATATTCATGTGATAAAGTGCTCAATATCAGAGACAGAGCGTATGTAAATATAAAAGTGAACACTGAAGTCAACACTCAGAGGCGACAGGCTGTTTCATGCTAGGCGCACTACTTAGGACGATTGCGCCTATCATGAAACAGCCTGTCGCCTCTGAGTGCTGACATTAATGTTCACATACACAAATAAATATATATATATATATATATATATAATCTCGGCTATGAATCCTCGTCTTCTCCCTCCAGCTATGGGTAAAATAGCAGGACAGACGGGGTTCTATAGCCTTGGATGGCAACTGATCTAGGAGAAGGACAACTCTGAATTCAAAACCTGCTGAGGGTCGTTTGGGAACCTTGTGGCACTTAGTGCACCAGGTCCCTGTATTCGTCCCTTCAAAAAGTGTGGATGGTCCTGCACGAAGCCTTCACCACTATAATCAAATCTCATGTGCCGGTGTCGGGCTGTCGGTTTCCTGGAAACTGATCTGCTTGACCCTCATACGTCGAATCTCGACGGGAGAGTCGACTATATCGGGTGAAACAGCAAAGAATTGTCCAAATCGTGTAACTGCATGGGATAATTCTCCACTCCATAAAATGTTTAATATCTAAAAAATACTTAATTAATTCAGTTTCTTTAATCAGGTTTTCACATAAGAGGAGACGTTTAGCCAAGTTGATACCATTTGTCGTAAGAAAATCTGCAAAATCTTTTGAGTTATTCAGCTAGAAAGAGAACAGGTTAAAATTGTTTTGTGTCGGTCCCACTATGTCTTCACGACTGTGCAATGGTGAGAGGAAAAAGATTATTCAGTCCTTCAGTGATTGTGCCAGCATTCATCACTGGCTTCCATCTTCAAAGTCCAATCAAGAACGATCACGAGAATGGTGAATAAATTTAAAAAGAGGGAACAGTAGAGAGGAAAACTGAATCAGGAGATCGCAACCACAAAAGGGATCATCATTTCAACTTAGGGCTGCATACATTATTATTGCTCAAGGTAGACTCCAATATTGTTATAAAAACTTCGGAGAATTTCATTTAGATATATATAATCATTTCTAAGAAATAACGGTTCAAAGCTCAATGTAACAATTGGACAAAAATATATATATATATATATATATATATATATATATATATATATATATATATATATATATATATATATATCAGTGATATTACCGAAGTGTCAGAGTTATGCCGCCCGGAACTTCGTTCCTGGTAGGGCCACCCAAGGCGGACAGGTCTGACACACACGCCGGCTAACAAGGGCTCTGGTGAAAATCCAAGGAGCGTCTGCTTCGGTAACCGGCGGCTTCTGGTCGTTCCTGTCTCTGCGTCTGTGGGAACCCCGCGGCAAGCAAGAACGTTATCCGAGTAGGCCTGGGTACCCTACTTCTGTAATTTATCCCAAGAATCTTCTCATAACAGGAAGAAGCCGGCTCAATCCGCCCAGGGTGAATGCCGCATCAGTACAGTAGTAGTAGTAGTAGTAGTAGTAGTATATATATATATATATATATATATATATATATATATATATATGTGTGTGTGTGTGTGTGTGTGTGTGCGTGTGTATTCTTTCTTTAAGTTCTTCAATATTTCTTTTGGTGCGTCTGATGAACAACTGATTTCAAATTGCCCCATAGAAAAAATCTATGAGTGTGATGTCTCGTGACCTCGCTGTCCACTCAATAGGACCTATCCATTAACCCCTATGTTGTGCAACCTTTGCATCTATCTATCTATCTATCTATCTATCTATCTATCTATATATAGTACACTCCAGAAGTTTCGAGAATTTTTCAAGAGAGACATTTCTTTCTTTCAAAACACTATAAAAACCCCTTTAAAGTAGAACCATTTGACTTCAGTGCCCTTGTTATATCATTCTAGCCACTTCTTGATTCACACCATCCTCCCTCCCATATTCTTCCAAAGTAAAGTTGTGCAGGGTTCTCGTCACAAGATTCTTCATCTCTTCACGTCTTCAAAGCTTTAATCAATAAGTAGTCTTGATCATTGGTTTCTGTCGCATGTTTGCTGAGTTTAACGCAAAAACTTTGTTCTACATAATGCCTCTAAGTTATCCTCATGTTCCGCCAGCATTGTCCAAGCCGTGCGTCGTGTTTAGACTGACGCACCAGCCTGAACTTTGAACCTGGAAACAAATGATTTGGCATATTAAATTATTACAACTACAATAAGTATGTATTAAAGTGACAATTATAGAAGACAATCAAAAGCAGTTTTCCTACCCACAAAAAATTCTCAAAATCTTTTTTCAACATATATATATATATATATATATATATATATATATATATATATATATATATATATATGAGTGTGGGTTAATGTGTATTGTGAAAAGAAGATGCTCCACAATCAACTTTAAAAATAATTAGGTCTATTTAAATAGAAAATTAAGTTTTTCCGTTTGTCTTATATATATATATATATATATATATATATATATATATATATATATATAAAGACAAACGGAAAACTTAATTTTCTATGGTTTCTTCATACACAGGAATTACCATATATATATATATATATATATATATATATATATATATATATATATATATACAGGGTGATTGGATAGTAACCCCTGACTTAACACTCTGTGACTTTTTTTAATGGAGTTGGCTAAATGAAGAAGTCTACTATACTAAACCAATGGATGAGCATGCGCAGTACTTAATGGAAAACGCTCAATATCAGCGATAGAACGAACATATTCAGTTGTATGGTTATGAGTAATGGATGAACATGAAGAGTGAATACAAGAAGTTATGTCATCCATACTACAAGAATTCTTGACTCGATTCCTGGGCACCTCGAGAAGTTGGTAACGAAATTTGGTTCCCATAACGAATTTTAAATAAAACCTCGTGCTAAACGCTTTCCTCTCATATCCATTTTTAGTAAAATTATAGTTAATAAATAAATTATGATTATTTCAAAAATTGTATATATATATATATATATATATATATATATATATATAATAAAAAAAAAAGAAAGAACAGTAAGATATATAATCTTGTCTTCTTTTTGATAGTTTTATTTTCACAAAACAGTGCTCAATGTAAATTTACAGAGCATGAATATCATAAATTAACTGATTTAAAAATATGGTTTCTTCGCTACACAGGAATTACCATGTTTCAAAAACCGAAGCTAAAAACTTTAAATTTAATTATATAATTACATTAAAAGCATTAGTTCTGTTTCAACTTCAAGCGAATTTTGGGAGTAACTTATTTTGAAATAGCTATTTAAAATAAACTTACAAAAAAATGGAAATTAATAAGAAAAGCTAGAGTATGTAGGTCAGTAACCGTCCCATGTCCTTTGTGCATACATGAGAAATTATATATTACTAAGTTTATAAAAAATAAAAATTTACTGAATCAAAGAAATGAAATAGCTATTCTTTGTCGTCATTGTGAAAAATTTTCCTTCAATATTTTTTTAGAAAAAGAAAAAGGGAGCTGGTAATATACATATTTATATTTGATATGTAATAATAATTTTTAAATAATTTAAGTAAGTTTATTACATGTATTTAATTTAAAAAGAAATATAGTCTATTAGTAATCAAGAATAAAAATAATATTTTATAGTTGTAGTTCAATATAATGTATTCTAACCCAAACACCCCTTTTAAAAAGAATCTTTAAGTATACAAGTACGAATTTAACAGAAAAAAATGCCGAAAACCTTTTTGTCGTTGATAAAAAAAAACAAAAAACAGACGACATGCGTTGAACGGATGTCAAAATTCGTTGAAAAATGCACTCCTACCATCCCTTGACTTACCCTCTTTTTCGAACGTAACTCATAATTGATACAACAATAGTTAATAAAAATGAACCCGCTACCGCCCCTGTCTAAATGATTGGATTTCTCTGTATCCTTGGAAACAAAAATTATGAATTGTATGTGCGTTTAAAACTCAGTAAATTTAAAAATAAGTTATTCCAAAATTTGTTTCAAGATGAAACAGAACTAATGCTTTTAATTTAATTATATAATTAAATTTGAAGATTTTAGCTTCATTTTTTGAAACATGGTAAGTCCTGTGTAGTGAAAAAACATATTTTAAATCAGTTAATTTATTATACATATATATATATATATATGTCTTCTCTACGGGTTTGAATTTAGTTGGCGTTCTTCCTGATTAACGTTTCTCATACGGTGCACCCGGGCTCACTAATGCGCCCTGAAAGATAATCAGACGCATCCCAAGTTAACAGAAGCGTAAATTATGAATTATTTTTAAAATTTAAATCTCTATTTTTAAAAGTTAGAGACACCAAGATAATGACTTCCATGTCTGAATCAATTCTTTGTCATTTTAAATTTTAAACTGGATGCTAAATTCCTCAATCTTTAAGAGTGGATAATCCTTTCCCTTTTGCCTTCTTCACGGGGTTTAAATCAGCTTTATCGGCTTTTAAATGAAAACTCTATAGCTAATCTATATAATGTGAATATTAATGCAAAAATGAAAACCATTAAAATGAATTTTCTTCTTTGCCAAAGTAAATCTCGTCCTGGGTATAACGATAAACTACATTCGGCAGCAAGGAAATTGATCGGTAGATTTAAGGTTCTGAGGAGCGCGGAAGCACTGCTGTTGTTCTCAGGTCCCCTGATCCGATCAGCTTTTAGGGTCCAAGCTATGGGGAAATAGTGAACCTCCAAATAAAAATTAACAGTATATTTTTATAATAAAATGACCAACAATACAGTTTTCTTTTTATTAAAATGTCAGTAATGAAAAATGCACGCAGGTCTAGGCTTTAAGAAAGCTTTATTCAGTTGAGAATACAAGGTTCGCGTATAGTGTCCTTTTATAGTCCCAGTAAACAGAAACAGCTCTCTCAAATAGGAGAGTAAAAAACCGGAGGAAACCACTCTTGATAACAATCAATGTAACACTAAAAAATATAAAAATAAATTTTTATAGTAAAATTACCAATAATATATTTTACGATCGAAAAATATATATCTAAAAAACATAACTTTACTCTGAAAGTGTAAAATTTCTTACAAAATGTTAAGATTTCGGCATTAAATACCCCATAGAGGTGTTGATATGCCGTTAAATAAAAAGAAGCAACCAAAGCACATCATGCAGCAGTTTCGCAATTTGTTTTCTACAAATGCACCCAGAAGTAAAAAAAAAAAAAAATCAAACAAAAATGCACTGGTCTAGATGTGCAAAAGCATTGTATAGCACAAAGCTAAAGCTCTCCTACAGAAAAAGCAATTCGAAATTATAAAGATTTCAAAATTATAACGAATCACCCAATCGACATGTGAAAATAAAATATGGCTGTCTGTCGGAAATTGAATATTGCTTATGAAAAAGACTGAAAACTGCATAAACATTTGCACTTCTTTTTCTTTATGCCACGTCCTGAAGGGACGTGGACGGTCATGATTCTCCATGACTTCCTATCTGTTGTTAATTTAATTAATTTTCCTCCTGTTTCACTTGTTTCCAATATGTTCTATGAATACTGAAGGCTCGTTTTTCTGATTATCCGTCCCAGTAATTTTAACTGCCTTTTTTTTCTGATTGTAAGTATCAGTTTATTTAGAATTCCAATTTTTCTTAAGGATCCTTTGTTGCTCCAATGATCCGTTCTATGGTGTTTTTAAAAGACGTCCCTAGAATCAGATCTCTGTCGATTCAAGTCTCTTCTTCATCTATTTAATAAACTGGAAGATACTGTGGGAACATGAGAGTTGTATTCATCACTCGCTTAAAAACTGCACTTCTTGTGAACTTTTAAGTTAGCTCTTGCGTAGGGTTAATTGGGCCTCCAGATGTCCCTTTAGTTTTACTAAAGGGACATCTGGTGTCACCTTAGAAAATAGAAATGATAATTTTGAAGAAATAACTTTGAATTCCTCAATTCACTTCATGAAACTTCAAAACCTCACTTTAACTCTGATTCGGGCTATAAGTCAAATTCCGACCAAAAGACTGATTTGGTTCGAAATTCCAATTCAGGCCGAAAATTGAGTTTTTCAAATGACAAACTCTGTGGAAATTCAATCGTGGTGAGTTCTTCAAATCACAAACTGTGTGAAACTTCAATTGAGTTGAATTCTTCAAATCATATACTCTGCGGAACTTCAAGACCTCACGTCACGAAACCTTTCATTTTAACCCTGATTCCTTGGCATTTTGAAAAAATAAAATTGATTTCCTCAATTCACAAAGTTTTGGAGATATTTTAAACTGAATTTAAAACTTTTTTTAAAAAAATTCACTAAGTATTTGTGTTACTTTAAACTCAATATAAATTAAAAACTTTTAAAATCGCTAATTCTTTTAAGTTATTTTAAAATTAGAATTTTTAATTGCTACCTCCTCATCCGGACACAAATCTTAATGCTGGATGTTCAAGCACCGTTTGAAGGTCAGATTTTTAATCCTGGGATGATCCTGTCAATTCGAGTCTCTTCTTCATCTATTTAATGAACTGGAAGCTACCGTTGAACATGAGAGTTGTATTCATCACTAGCTTAAAGATAGTAGACTCCGATAATTTTTGATCAGACCTCGTATATCATTCATATCCGAAGGCGAATTGGAATAACAAAAATACCTTCCAAAACCTAAGCAAATTATTAAGATACTGGAAAATTTCGTTAGAAACAGAGCACTGAAATGTTATTTAATATCAGTTCTCTTCTATGGCAGTGAATATTGGAGAATTTCCTCACAGATGAAGAAGAGACT